CGAATATGTTGAAAAATAGCTGGACACTTGCTGTATCTGTTGCAATAAATATTCCCATGAAATTGTGTTTTGTTTCTGTAAACGGCCCCAGGGAAACTTACTTTGTGGACGAGCCTCGTACATCCAAATCATTTCAACACCAAGTATTACACCTTCAAGTTTCGGAACCTTTACAATGCACATTTTTGGAGGAAGATCAAATCTTCAGCTGGCCAAGTGAATTTTGTATAATAAAAATGCTTGTGACCAAACAGAAGAAATTCATTACAAAAAATAATTACCAGTGTCAGAATATCCACTGTATTTACCTCATTTACTCTTGTGTAATTTTTATATTCTGAAGACCAAAAATTTTCTTGAAAGAGTTCATTTTTGAAACATGACATTCAGTACAATAGTACTGAAAGGAGATTATTTCCAGCAGAGCAAAGACTTCTGAATGTGTGTCAAGTCAGAAGACAAGTACTTTGAAGGTCACTACACTTACTTAAAGTTAATACTTGCAGTACATTACAGACTTCTGGAAAATGGTTTTTAGTTATGTTTCAGGTAAGGCGGAGATTCCAGAATGTGTGTATATAACTGCCTCAAACCATTACAACCACCACTTACATTTTACAGAATGTTTGGTTATTAATTGTGAGTCCTCATACATGATAATGTATAGCTCCGTTCACTTAAAAATTAAAGAAGAGAGTTCACATATTATGAAAAGTATTTATCTGTTGAACAAAGGGGAAATTCTCTGGGCAACAAATAATTCTGTAAGATGCAAGACACACACTACCATTTTTAAAAATGGTGAGTAAGTTGACGTGCTGGAACTTACCAGAGCTCAGCACCGAGTACACGGCACTGAAAGTTCCTATCTGACCACCATACAATGACATGGCTTGCACGAACATGGCAGAACCCTGAGTGGTAAGGTGTGGCGGAGCTCTGGACCTACAGTAAGTTCCTATGAGTGGTGCTCCTGCATTATCACCATCCCGCACTTCAATGCGATAAAATGGACATTCTTGTGAATCATGGTACCAGTGTAGGCTCAAATCCATTACAGTAATTGTAAGAGTCACCCGATCCTCTGAAACAGTAGCACCAACACAAAAACACTGGTTATTGTCAATGTCAGTCTCTCGGGTAGTAATGCCACGTGGAGTTGGGCCATAAATACCGTCTCTGCACAATTTCTCTCTCAACAGACGTTCAATGTTCTAACAGTGGTGAAGATATCAACATCTTCACTGCCATGAGGCCCTCAACTATCAGACACCTGGTTATTGCCTTCCCTTCAGTCCAAGTAATAAAATGTAGCATGCAGACTGAATATTAGCTCAAAGGCATGTAATATCTAAGTGTGTCATGCATATGACCTGGTGCACAGAGATTTTGTATAAGCATAGATATACTGACAAACTTCAATTATGAACAATGTCAGCCATGACACTCTGAGTTCACAGCTTTAATAATTGTACCACTGTGAAATGTGTGTATATGTGTAAGCACCAGCCACATAAACTTCTGAGGTGGAAGTAGCAGAAGTGTCATTATATGTAAAGATTGTAAATTACACATGGTGACAGGGATTTGACAAATATAAAACTACTGTTAACGTCTAGTTTGTGTAGAACACAGAACAAGAATAAGATGAAATCCACTCAGTGTAAAAGCACATCAGATGAAATGTGACATGTCAAAAATGGTGAATGCTCTGGCTCTGGTCTAGCTAATAGTGGGCCATCAGAACACTAAAACTGAAGGAATCACTTCTCCATTCAATAACAGCCCTATTTAGCTTGAAATCAGCTGCATGCACACATAGCTTATACTCCGTAGTGTTTCTTAGCTTCATATGCACCAGGCCAGGGAAGCAGATTCACTAGAGGTCTAAAATATGTGCTTTCACATATGTGTCAACATGAAAAAGAGAGGACTGGAGTTCTGTTAGTACTATCAGGTCATGCTATCCAAATTCCACATGACCTGACTTCCAGATACGGATCTGCCACTGGAAAGACCTGGACAATGTATAAAATTTTGTTCAAACATGTGTGTGCTAAAATTATGAAAATGGTAACAAGACTAAACTAAAATTCTTTATAGAGCAGAAGCATGTAATATCTTAGCGCAAGTTCGGGCTATTGGGATGTCAATGGCGAAGGAATTCTAGAATTTCCACCCTCAGCCACCAACCCATAAACAAACAAACAGAACAACAAGGGGTGGAGCCATTGTTCTCCAAAATGTCATAAGCACACTCAGAATTAATAACGGAGAAACGCTTTGGATTGCGTTTTCTAACGGACAGTCAAGAGGAGCTAAGCTTATGTAGCAAAGCCATCTTCAAGTAAAAGTGGACTAAGGAAATTTTAATAGCGTAAAGTGAGTCTTCTAGACACCGCAACCGCGAAGTGAATTTCCTTGTATCGCAAAGAACGTTCGTTTCTTCCGCCATAGTACGTTCCAACAAAAATTCGCTGTGTCACATACTAACTAACTAACTAATTAACTAGATGGCTTACGGAACCCGAAGGTTCATCACCGAACTAACCAAAGCCCTCCATCGGACCCTGTCCTGGGCCAACAAAATCCAGTCTCCTTCAACTCCTATCTCCCATAGATCCCGCCTGAGATTATCCTCCCATCTACGTCTAGGTCTCCCCAGGGGTCTCTTCCCCTCAGGCTTCCCAAATAGTGGACACAACCAACCAGATGGCTTAGCGAACCGGAAGGTTCATCACCGAATTAACCAAAGCCCTCCACCGGACCCTGTCCTTGGCCAACAAAATCCAGTCTCCTTCAGCTCCTATCTCCCATAGATCCCGCCTGAGATTATGCTCCCATCTACGTCTAGGTCTCCCCAGAGGTCTCTTCCCCTCAGGCTTCCCAAATAGTGGACCCAACCAACCAGATGGCTTAGTGAACCCGAAGGTTCATCACCGAATTAACCAAAGCCCTCCATCGGACCCTGTCCTGGGCCAACAAAATCCAGTCTCCTTCAACTCCTATCTCCCATAGATCCCGCCTGAGATTATCCTCCCATCTACGTCTAGGTCTCCCCAGCGGTCTCTTCCCTTCAGGTTTCCCAACCAATACCTGGTGCACACCTCTTGTCCCATCCACGCGCGCTACATGCCCCGCCCATCTCATTCTTCTCGACTTAATCACCCTGACAATACTGGGGGAGGAGGTCGTGCCAAAGAGTCTGTCCTGGTCCGAGGCTTAGTTAATTTTTTCATAACAATGCTTTTTTTAAGGTGAAAGGTTGTTAGCCTTATGTCCATCCCCCAACCTGGACCAGGGTATCACTCTTAGTCTGGCTCATCGCCTTAGACCTGTCCGGCTTGGGTGACCCTACCATGAGCCGAAGCTCGGGCCAGCATAGCCTAAGGGTCATTTGAGCACACAAGCTTCCTCACCCAGCAAATTGCCTTCAACAAAGTGGTGATACCTTTGGGAGGTATCTTAAATTATACACATAAAAAAATATATGGAGTTGTATAATTATTAACTTGTAATTTGCACAACTGAAGAATTAAGAGAAATGTATGTATCAGGCAGTAAGTAGCAAAGTAGAAATATGTGAAGTCTGGTAGATTACATACTGTTTTGAAGCTTAAGAATCAGTAACTGTACCTGGACTTGGAGCAATGATGATCCATGAGCAGTTATGACTTTCATAAGAGGTTATTATGTTGTGTGTTGTTATTATCCCAGTATCCTCTGCCATGATGCGTGCTCCACAGGTCTGTACAGAATCATTAAAACATTTGGAACAGGCAAATTAACCACAGAGCAAGTTACAAAAATTAATTTTAAAGGGTACTGACGATTGTGTGTTACAATCAGGATCACAAAAGTCTTGGACTATGTCCATAATTAATTTTAAAGGGTACTGACGATTGGGTGTTACAATCAGTAACACAAAAGTCGTCGACTATGTCCACTGTCTCTGTTTATGAAAAAGAACACTACATTTTGGAAGCTGGATCTGCTTCCATCATCATGTTAAAACCTTCTCAGTTGGGTCTGATAGAAAAAATTAACCTCAATCACTGAACAACCTAAGTCAGTATAACCACCTTAACAGCCTTAGAACTTCCATCCAGTTTGCCAGGAAGTAGAATCAGACAATACAATTCCTTTTCTGGATGTTTTGGTCATCTTTGACAACTAAGGTTTACAGAAAATCTACCCACACTGACTGTGTAGTTCAGAGCCTGCTCAGTAGAGCTCATACCATATGCCAGGAACAACAAGACTTGCTCAAAGAAATAAAAGCCTTGAGATGCGATCTTCAGCTAAATGGTTACCGGAATGGCTCACTGACTCAGTCCTTAACTCCAGGGGAAGTGGTCATCGATAAAAAGAAGAGACAAAGCCTATTGGTGCTATTGTTATATCCTACGTGAAGGGCATTTCATAAAAATTCAAACATTTAGGGAATCGTTATAACATCAAGACAATCTTTAAAACGAAACACACTATTAGGAGTATACTGATGAAAACCAGACCAGAAACAAATCTGCAACAAACAGAACACTGTCTATAGCCCTTCCTGTGAATACAGCAGGAGCTACATTGGGGAAACAGGCAGACCACTAGCCATGCGGCTCGACAAATGAAGGCACAATCTCAGATATGGTTATCTTGAAAAATAAAGTATTTAATTTTCAATTTTTTTGCAGTTCTTTCCTTTGGCAGAGACCTCTCTTTTAAGGATTGTTAAATCTCTACATGATTGAATATGTATCTGCAGTGGTTATTACAAGGAATTACCTGCAACATCTAATAACTATTATACTTGCTGAAGATGACTGTCTTCTAGGCTTTTGTGCCATTCAGTCTGATAAACGATCACTGACATTTCAGAGCTACTTGTTGCTTCCATCATCAGGGCAATGGTATCACAGCCCTGGTGATGGAGATAGAAAACACCTCCAAAATGATGGAAAGCTTCTACCAGACTACACAGTGCAATAACCCAGAAGAGAATGAGAATTTCAAATCTCAATTTATTTACTGTTTACCACAAACATTTGGCTTGTAAGTCACTATCAGTGTCTAAATTTCAGAAAAAATTAATTCAAATTAACATAATTCTTCCAGAAGTCACAAAAACAGCAGCACTAAATGTAATAAAAATTTACTAATGTTAAGTGTGGACTGTAAAAGCCGGGGAAGGACCCCAGAACCCATTGGATAGCAGGCTAGGTGGGCCCCAGAAGCTAGAGGAAAACTTCTCTTCCCCCGTTGGGGATCGAACCCCAGTCATCCGGTCCATAGCCAGTCACTATACTGACTGAGCTATGCTGGCACATCATATTACATGTTTTTCACATTTAAAATGTTAGAGGTTTACAAATTATGTAAAGATGAAAGTTTGAATAGTGGGGGGCTCATTTCTACAGCACTGATACATACAGAAAGCACCGAAGATTATTTAAATTCCAAAACATGACAAACAACAAACACATACATTAGTAATGAACTGCTTATGACAATGCATTGAGAAAATTAGAGAGACTCTGTTGGCAGTTAAAAATGTTAAATTTCTACCACAACAGCAATTCAACTCACCAAGGTGTAGTTGGCAAGAAATCCCTTTGCTGTTGGCATGTTGTTAGTCTTCATGTGCACCAGAAGCTGATTGCCAGTTGACGTAAAGTTGTTCGAAGCAGAAAGGCTGTCATTACAGTAATAGTACAGCTGTGTGCTGTCGGTACTGTTCCCATCATACACCTACCAACATAAAGCCAAAATTCACGCTAACGGGCTGCTGTCGATACAAACAATCATCACCAACATGTCCTTGACCAAATCTTCAAACCAGAAAATAGCACAAGTACAAATAAGATAGGTCTACATGACGATATAGGCAGAGTATATTTCAGTTCAGAAACTATTACCATCATGTCAGCCTTCCAAAAATCTGCTGATCTCTTTCTTGAGTAGCTTTCACTTCCCATGTCCTCGAGAAATTCCCTAACATTGCAGAACTCAACAGACTGTAATAGTCACCACAAAGTCCACATCAAACCACATATTTAAACAGTTCACAAACCGCTTTCCTAAAATACACTTCAGTGTATTTCTGTCCACAAGCAACTTCTTTCCAAGTATCTTCTAGAACCAAAATATTAGGTCTTATCCAAATCCTTATTCTGCTGAATCCTAAGAAATAGAGCGTGAAGACATGGACTGGATTCATGTTATTCTATCCAGAGTCCTGTGAATGGAGTAATGTGATTCTGTGTTCCATAATAGTGGAAATTCTGACTATCAGCTTCTCAAGAATAACTCTGCTTTATGGAATCAGTTCTTTAGTTATGCTTTGACATACATGACAAACACTAACCATGAAACTGTAAATGTTCTATAGATGTGTGCTTTTCTATTGCACATGTTAATTTTGTCAACCCAGGACATGTAGTTATTATTATTCAGTGTTCTGTCTTACAACAGGTCCATTGCTCTGCCCAAAAAGAGCTCTCCAGTTTTCCCTATTCTCGGCTTCTCGCTTTAATTCCTGGAACGTCATCTTCTTTCCTTGTTTAAGGTCGTCGGTTAGCTGTATCAGTCTTCTTCCCAGTCCTCGCTTTCCTTCAACCTGGCCTTCGATGATATCACTCAGTAATCCATTCCTTCTCATAATATGTCCCAGCCAGTTAGCTTTCCTTCGTGTAATCCATAAATATCATGTCCTGGTTCTTTGCAACTGCTGCAATTATTTATGTATCTTTTACTAATTAAAATAACAAGTCAGGTAGGTAACACTGGTTAAGCATCGCCAAATTCTCACCAGAGGGCTGTATAGTTCTTCACACTTCAGTATTTCCCTATTTCTTGTTCTCAAATACCTTATAATTACTTAGTTGGAATTAATGTCTACGTCCTTTCAAAGGCACACTATGTGGTCCTGGGTCATATTTAAATGGTCAAAATGTAAGATTACGTGTAAAATGTCACTAAGACTTGCGTGGTAACTCTGGTCTTTCTATGCGGCCAGGAGTCAGGTTAGTCGTCAGATATTATGAGCACTTACGGAAATACTTCACAGCTTTCACAATGTTCAAGAGAGTTATGGAGTTAGAAACTTCACATTAACTTGGAGGTACACTGTTCAAATATCGGCTAGAGACACGCTGCACTGACTGAAGTTCCATATTTATACTACGAGGTGCGATCGGAAGGTTTCCAGACTGCGCGTATAAAAACCCGTACACTTATCTCCGGTATTAAATTCATCCATCACCCTCGAAGTAGTTCCCCTGGGAGTGAACACAACGATCCCAGCGCCGCTGCCAAGCCTGGAAGCATCCCTGGAAATCTTTCTTTGTCAGCCTGTCAAGCACCATCTGCGATTCTGCCTGAATCTCTTCTATCGTCTCAAATCTCCTTCCCTTTAGCTGAATTTTCAATTTACCAAAACGCCCGTAACTAAGAAACAAATGCTAATTCGATGATGCCGGCTCGCACACTGATTCACTATGAATGTAGGCCGCACCCCCTAGCGGCAGAAGCTCGTACTACATCCAGTTCGCCCTCTATTGACA